TTTTTCTCTTCCCTTAATTTTTTAAAAAAACACAAGTTTACTTTTAAAATTCTGCAAACCCAATCTTAAAGTGTTCCTTATAAAATAACACTGTACGACAAACAGGAATTAGGGCACCAAAGTTCATGAATATTGTCATTGATTGTAAAACATCGTCCAAAAAGCACTGTTGCCATCTGTGCTCAACAAATGGTGGTAGTGTTCGAACGACAAACTGCATAGTAGATGGCAAATCGTGCTGCTGGTGGCAACATTACCAATTGCCAAAAAATAAACTTACCGTTGAGTTAAAATAATCATTATGTTAAACATTTTTGTCTGATTGTCTGTGATAATTTACTTTGGATCAAGACGATGGAAGTAAATATTAAATAAAAATGACAATCATTCGAAGGAATACGTCTGGGAAGTGATTCAATTTGCTTTAAAAAACTACAAGTGATAGCCCAATGGAGTTGTACGAATAGTTGACGTAGGACTACGCTCACAAGGGACTGCCCTATGGTCCAAAACTTACTCTTTAACAAATTTATGGTGGTCCTGAAAAGGACCGTTTAGTCGTGATAGTTGAGTAATGCTGAGTTATTAGGGTGATGAGGCTGGTGAGCTATATGTTGTTTGGAATGAGGGTGACGCGCTTGGCATAGATGGCCCACAGCGACTCACGAAGAGCTACTGATTCCGATCAATAGCGGTGCGGCTTCTTCCTCCTTCTATGGATGCTCATGTGGGCTGCAGCTCGCTGCTTTGAGAACAATGTTCAACGCGCCGAAAGCACTGCTGCTGCTGATGCCAACGACCGGACACCACAACACACGGTGATTGGAACTGAATCCGATCAGCGGTTGAGGGCAGTCTTGATAGCTAACTGCTCGCGGGGAGCATTTCGTTGTATACTAGAGAACACCACCACTCACCACGCGGTGATTGAATAAACACCGTTTGGTGAGGCCGGATGGAATTCAACTTTGAAATCTGTATTAGCGAAATCACTTTTCGCAGGCAATCAGTGATAATTTTAATTATCATACGTGCAATTTTCATTCATGCAACATTCGTGCAATTTTCAATAGTGGTATTTAAAAAATGATAAACTCTTAATTTTAACAGATGCGTAGAAATATTTCTGATCGATTTGTGTTAAAATTATTGAAATTGGTCCAGGGACAGCTTAGCTGTTAACGTTCAAAATCTTTCATAATTTCGTTACTTGATCCATTTTTTATTTTCACAAAGTATATCTGCATATAGAAATCACAGACATAGTCCTACGTCAAAAATGGAAAAGAAAACTCATATTTTTTGCCAAAACTCTTTATCACAGTAACTATACTTGATATTTAATGTTTAATCTATCTTATATGTGAAAAAGATTCAGGTGGTGCTATCAAATCAAATATATCCAAACAAAAAGTTTCCTAAATTTGGCAACACTGCAAATACTTTTTAACTTGTTTTCACGTTTTCTTGCTTCAAAAAACATTTGAAACAGTAGGCAAGACCAATCAGATTTCTACCTTAGAAGAGCGGGCGAAAATAAAATTGAAAAACATGTTTTTTTCTCATTCTTTGTTTCAAAATGCTGTATCTCAGGAAAGACGCAAATTACTTTTTGTCGACAAATGCTTCTGTTGTAAAAAAGGATGGGAACCATGATGGTGCGGTCAGATTGGAAATCTAAATACACACATGCTGAGATAATTGCGTTTCATGTTTTTAAACGCAAATATACAATATTTGGCAACGCTGTACAAAAATAATAAATTCATATCTAGATTCTTTGACAAATGTTCTGATAAAAAGTATATAATATTAATTGTGTCTTGGTCTCCTGGACCAAGGGGTACATCGTTCGTCCCAAAAAATTTGGATTCTTAAAATCTAACTAAAATAAACATCTGGGTTGATGCATATATTATGTGACGCTCTAAGCGGGGAGGGAGGGGGTCTAAGATTTTGTGACAAGCAATGCATTAGGAAAAACGTCACGATAGGGGGGAGGGGGTAATTTTTTGCTCGATTTAGCGTGACATAATTAATGCATGGGCCCTCTCCTCCAATCTGGTCTATTACAATTGTAAGAGGTAAATTACACTTTTGTATTTTTACACGGTCACTTGGCGCGGAATGTTTCATATGTAATTTGCATGGCAATCTTTCTCGAAGGAAAAGCGGACAAAGAATAATGGTTTGGATCTCTATACAAGCATATCTGGTGAACTTAGTCAGCTACTTATGGCTATTGGGATGGTTATGGCAATTTCTTATTGCATATCCATTTACGCTTCTATACAGCTGTTATTCTACTGTTTAGTTGAGTGTGAACTAAAAAGGCGCTTATTCAACCATTTCCCTATTATCCAATAATCACTACACAGCTTGATCTTGAAGCCGGGTTAAATATTGTTTGCTTTTAATATGATGGGAGGATTTATTGAATGTGTTTTACTGCGAATCAAATTACTCGAAATGTAGCTAAAGGACACACACCCCCAAATTATTACCCTGCATCGAAACCTGAACTCGAACTCGAGATGACCGCATCGGCAAACCTTGACACTACAAACTTCGCTACGCCAACACTTTGAATTGACGTAAACACATCTACATGACTTTCTACAACAAGATCGCTGAGTAGAGTGTTTATAGTAGTGCACATGAATCAACTTTCTCAACTTCAGCTTTGCAAAGGAGCGGAGTAAAAGCTGTAAAACTGCACAGGTCTGAAAATAAACCTAGGTGACTTTAAAGTAGCACTATCACAGTTTTTTACCTGAGTACAGGTTGTGTAGTTGTTAAAAAAGCACTTTATTAGTTTTGTTTTGCAGCTACAAGTTGAAAGTTGATTAATATTTGCATAGAAGTGACATTAGCGTTTATTGGCTGCTTTACAGCACAATGCTGGAAAAGGTGGTTTATAAAGCTGAAAATGTTAGTTGGGTTGACCTTCAAAAAACTTCATATTTCTGCAACTAAAGTTGGGGATCGGAGACTTTGAAAAAAAATAATTATGAGAATTTGAAAATTTGGAGTTGAAGCTTGACATTTTTTAAGAATCTAAAACTTATAAACAAATATAATGGCGCTGAGCTAGGGGGTAGTGGCTTTACCACTGCTGCAAAATCTTGACCATACACGGCGATATTCGTCACTCACTCAAACTAAAAATGATCTTCAAAGATACAATTGTCAATTAAAATCATAACAGTCCCACGTGGAATTTTTATCAAATATGAGTTATCCAATAGAAACGATTGTAAACTACCTGTATTTATTACTAATAGTCACATGTTTTGTTTAGAAAATATGGTGAAAATATCAAAACTTAGTTGTCCTATCCATGTATTTTCAACAGCGTTTTTCACGGCTTGCTGTTTTTCCAGATGGGACTGATCTGCTTTTATGTAGTCGGTGACAAACATGTGCTGCTGTGTCTGTAACGAGATTATATGGATTAAGCAAAAGTCAAAGTGAACACCAGTTTGTGCATTTAACAAACATGTAAAAGAGTAACAACAAGGGGAAGCCCACAGTATTAATTCAAATTGGACAAACAATTTCATCTCAGCTGTGTATTTTCTTTTCTCTTAGGATACTGTGAATATTAAGACCATACTGATCCTCCCTAGCAAGAAAGGTGTTCAAGCACTAAACAAAACAGCAAATGAAGACACAGAAGGCAAAAAAAATACATCTCCATTCCAAGACGAAAACAAACCGATCGAGGATGATGGCACAGAGTTGATGAGATGTGCCGATATTTAGTATAATAATAATACTAATAATACTGTTCGAAGAAGAAAGTTACGAACGAAAGTTATCTCATCGTCGTTGGATGGTCGGTATAGGCATTGTCAACTGTGGCGGCGATCGTTAAGTGGGTTGCGGCTCTCAGTCTGTGTGTGCATGTACAGAAATCCTCCGAATAGCACGGTGGGTGGTGCCGTCCACCCATTACAATTTCTCGGCTGTCTTCCAACCCATTGAGCTGATTTTCAGCTTAGATGACATGTGTATGGAGGACCCTAATCACATACAAACAAAAATCAGCTCAATTGTATGGATGACAGCCGAGAAATTGCCTAGGGTGGACGACACCACCCACAGCGCCATTCGGAGGATTCCTGTATTTTGAAATATTGGCGAATTTCTTTAACCTCGATTCATAAACTTGGCGTCGTTGACATTTTGATGGAAATTTTGCCGATTGGTACCGATTGTGATGCATGATTATGAATGGAAGATTTTTTCGTTTTGAATTAAATTGTGTTTGATGAAATCCAGCTGCAGGTGCAGCTTTCTTACATAAACATGATTTGAAATGCGATTTTCAAAGCAAATCAAAGTTCAACATAAACGGTGCGATAGAAAAACGTAAGAATCGTCTGAAAAGAGAGATGCCATTATCGTGATAAATCAAAAACCTTCACAATGTGAAACAACCAATTGAAGGTAATTGAAACCGCAAAATGAAACAGCCAATTGAAATTAATTCAGCAGAGTTATATGGAATAATTTCTAAAAAAAACATGTTGCTTGAAAATGTGTGTTTGAAATTACGGTCAGCGGCAATTTTATATGATTTGATACCAAGACCTATTCGTGAGGATTATATCAATCACTTTACTCTAATCAATATCGTCAAAAAACTGATCGAATAAATAAGGTCTACCGGTGAGTTGACATTTGCGCTTATAACCTTTAAATTCAACCAATTTATGTTTGTTTTGGAGTGACATCCAACGTATTTACCCACATGCAATCTTCACGCATCATCATTCGGTAGTGATTCGATTAAGCATATGAATATTCATAAAACCATATACGCCTATACGATGCCTGAGCAAAGTGGATTGCGGTTGTTGATCTAGATACCGTTTTTATGACTTTATTTCACCAAATCAAAGGCAACCGATTTACCTATGCGAAATCGTTTCAACCTGTTTAAATGTGCATGCCACCATCTGTAACATAAAAAAAGACGACAATCAAATAAATTTACAAGCTCGCTGCTGCCCAGCCACAAATATTGACATAATTCAACTTGACGTGATGCTCTAACCCGCATCTCACCGAAGGTCAGCAAATGAAGCGCGCTTCTCCACAACCACGGCATTATGATGCAACCGATAACGATGCGTCTCTTCTTTGCCATCATAAATCGCCCCTCAACTACTACTACCTAGCTTCCTTCTACGGACTTCTGGCTGCTTTGAAGCACCTTTTGAAAGGCCTTTTAATCATTTGCACACGCACGATCGCTTATGTATACTTAGACAGCTCCAAACATTGTTCATCATAGCACATTCAAGGGGCGGCGCAAACATCCAAAATAAACAATAATTAGCCAAAGATCGTATTTGTATTTCCCCTCTCCATATTCAACAACAAATGTCACTTGCATAATTTTCGCTTTTGCTTGAATAAAGCTCACAAAATAAATCACTTGCGCTGGCCGACGTCGGCTTGCTCCACGCGGCACACGATCGGGACGTCCGCCAAGCGGGTATGGTTCTGACGACCGCGCCGTTGAATAATCTCACCGACCACCTTCCTCCGGTAGGCCATCCAATTAAGATCGTCCAGAAATTGCTTGAACAGTTGCTCCCGGCTGGGAATCGCCAGTTCCAGATACATCTTGACACGTTGCCAAACGTTTCCGGTATTTTGATGCTTCATAAACAGCCAATAACGGGGAATCAGCATGCACTGGACTTGACTCCGGGCCACGATGGAACGATCCTGCATGCGTTCTCCCAGGCCGAATACCGACCCGCAGCTGAAGGATCCAACGTCCAGAAAGTGGTGCTCCAGTTGTTCCTCGGCGGTTGGTAGCTGAGTCAAAAGAAATTTTTTTGAACAGATTAGTTTGTTGAAAATTGAAGCACAGACAAACAGACGCAACATATGCTAAACGCTGTAAAATTTCATTGACATTTTTTCCCCTTGATTTGTTTTCCGTCGATCTTGTTTTCCGTGCTGAGCACCAATGCTACCGACGCCAGCTCCCACACCTGGATCCTACCTATCGACCCATCAACTCATGAACCGGGGACCAACGGCTTTACTTCCCTTCCGAAGGCGTAATCAGAGCCTCAAAATCACGGCGGCGCCATCTGGCATTAAACCCAGGCCCTTTGGGAGAGAGGCAATCACGTTTACCACTACACCGCCGGCGCCGCTCGTTGTGCTATGTTAAATTAGGTGAGTATACGTTGCATCAACGAAACACACGGACGCGGATACAACGTATGTATGTTATGAGTCAGGTATGACATTAGTTGTCAACTAGGCCTACAACTCGTAAAAAGTTGACTGAAAAGAAATTTTAAATTGTCCCTACAGTTCTCTGAAGTAGTCGCTAGTATACTTGTGAAGCCTTAAGAGTTACCCCCATAGTTCACGCCTGCCTGAGTTAATCGACCCCTCTTTGCATATACACTACTTATCATAAGTATGGACCCACATAGAAATGTATTGCAACACTCATAAGAACATTACATCTCCGTGTAGAGTTTAGCATCACTCAAAGAAAATGTGTCAAAGTGTTCGACATTAGTTGGGAATACACCGACTAGCTGCAGAAGTGTTCTGAATCACATCGGAAAGTACTTAATCACATTAGAAAAGATTGGAATCACTTCGGAAAGTACTGAATCATTTATGAAAGTACTGAATAACTTAAGAAAGCACTTCAGAAAAGTATGAACTTAGTTCGGAAACTGAATCACTTCATAAATGTATCCAATCACTTCAAAAAGTATTGAATCACTTCGGAATGTATTGCATCACTTTAGAATTATTCGCAATTACTTCTGATAGTACTGAATCGATTCAAAAAAAATAACTTAATTAATTTATTTATTTTTCGTCAAGCCAGTGAAGAAAGTACTGAATCACTTCAAAAATTAATCCAATCACTTTGGAAAGTTTTGAATCACTTCATCACGGAAACTGAATAAATTCAGAAAAAAAAAATCACTTTAGGTAGTGCTGAATCACTTCAGTAATTAAATCAATCGCTTCGAAAAGTATTGCATTACTTTAGAAATGTTCGGAACTACTTCTGAAAGTATTGAATCGATTCACAAAAGTTTTGAATTACTTCAGATTCTGCTGAATCACTTCAGAAGAGTTTAGAATCACTTTCGAATGTATTGAAACAACTCAGGAAATTTCTAAATCACTTCGGAAAGTACTGAATCATTCCATAAAAGTATGTAACCACTTTCGCAAGTACTGAATCACTTCGAAAAGAACTGAATCATTTTAGAAACCTTAAGAATCACTACAAACAAAGTACTTAATAATTTTTAATCATTGAATAACTTTGGAAAGTAATGAAAGTTTGAAATAATTTCCGTAAGAACAGAATCATTAACGAATGCACTGAATGACTTCAGAAATGATCAGAATCACTTCGGGTAATATTGAATAGCCTCTGCAATGTTCGGCATCAATTCGAATCTACTGAATCGCTTTAGAAAAGTTCATAATCACTTCGGAGAGTACTGAATCATTTCAGAAAGTACTGAATCACTCCGGAAAGTCCGGAATCACTCCGGAAAGTCCGGAATCAAACCAGAAAGTTTGTAATCACTTCCGGAAGTAGTGAATCACTTCGTAAAGAATTGAATCACTTAGTAGTGCACTTCGGAAGAACTTATTCGCTTTAGAAAAAGCCGCAATCCTTCCGGAAAGCACTGAATCATTTCACAAAGTACTGATCCATTTCTGAAAGTAAAAATCCCTCAATAAAATTTGCAATCACACTTTATAAAAGTTTTGAATCATTCCGAAAGTAATGAATCATTCACTTCCGCAAGTAGTTTCACTTTATAAAAGTTTGAAATCACTTCAGAAAGTACTGAATCACTTCAGAAAAACTCGTCAACTCTTTGGATAGTATTAAATCACTTCAGAAAATTTCTGAATCACTGCATCTGTCTAGAAAGTTTCTAATCACTTCCATTCGGAAAGAACCTGAATCACTTCACAGAATCTCGGAATAACTTCTGATATTACTGAATCACTTCAGATTGTTTCAGATACACTTCGGAAAGTACTGTACAAATTCACAAAAGTTTTCAATCACTTCCCAAGGAGCTGAATTCTTTTAAATATCAGAATCACTTGATAAAAGTTTGAAATCTCTTCACAAAATGTTCAATCACTTCAGAAAAAATAGAGTCAGCGCAGAATGATTTCAAAATTTTGTAAATCTCTTCGGAAAGTGCTTAAACACTTCAGAACATCTCTAAGTCAGTTCTAAAAGTACTGAATTTCTGCAGAAATGTTTGAATCAACTTAGGTTTCCAAAATCAATTCTTTCCAAACTTTAAATTCTTCAAAACAATGCCGGGGATTCGTGGATGACTTGGAGAAGGAGGGAGAGCTGGTCAATATGATTTGGCCAGCTCAGTCACAATAAAAATGAGTCCACAATATCATCAACATTTGTGGATTTGTTTACAAATTTGTTGGAAGTAAATCAAGGATGATGCGATAAGAAGACTAATAGAACGGATGCAAAAAATATGCAAAGCTGTGATTAAAGTCAACGGTGGGTATATCAAGGAATCCAAAATTTGATAAACAACAATTTTCCTAGAGTGATCCAACTTTTTTCCGAAAAACGTTCAATCTTCTCTGCAAGCAGTTTAAAACATTTCGAAATTAGTCTTTTAACTATTCTATAAACATTCGAAATATTCCAAGGCTGATCAAAACTTGCTTTGAGCTGAATTCAAACTTTTCAAGTGTTTCAATACCAGCTAAAGCGATTCCAAACTATTATGGAGTGATTAAAACTGATCACAAGTGATTCAGCACTTGCGGAATTCTGGACATTTCTGGGATGATTCGAAGAGATTACAAACTTTTCTGAACTGATTCAGTTCTATCAGAAATGATTCCGAACATTGAGGTAATTCATTACCTTCTGACGAAATTCCGAAAATTTCTGGATTGATTCAGTTCCATCCGAAGTGATTCCGATTTTTTCTGAAAAGATGTTGTTCTTTCCTAAGTGGCTCAGAATGTCTCTGAGTGATTCAGTACTATCCGAAGTGATTTTGAACTTTTGTAGTTATTGTGAACACGTCTTTTTTTAAGTGTAAGTGTACATTCAGACGTGATCTCAAACATTTCTGAAATGATTCAGTACATTCCGAAGTTATTCCGATCATTTCTGAAGTGATTCAGTAATTTCAGAGGTGATAATGAAAATTTCTTAAATGAAGCAGTTCAACAGTGAGCATGCATAAGGGCGTATACGCGATGATCGATTCTCGTAGTCGATTTTCTCTTTTGTTAATAACTCGCTAGAATTAACGTTTCTCGGTGCGTTTGCTGATGCTTTTGATAGCCAATACAAGCTGTTACAACTCTGCATTGAACAAATTCTAGAAAATTGTTTCGCTTAGCTGCATCAATGCAAAGAGAAAATCGATGATGAGAATCGATCATCGCGTAACGCCCTTATGCATGCTCACTGTCGAGTTCATTCCGAAGCAGCGAGTCCAAACATAAAAAGCAACAAACGATACAGACAAAATGGTTGCTACGACTACCATGACAAACTCGCTCTGTAACATAGCTTGATCGGAGTGGTAGAAAGATAATGATATATTGCTTGCCTGCTTTGTTGAAATATACACGGATGAGGACATAGTTTGATCTGAATCGAGAAAATACATAACAAAAAAAATCCAATTAACACACGTGTTTCATCTTCGGCTTTACTTCGTGAAGCAGCTTGCCAACAATTTGCTCGTTTCCTTTTACCGCCTTGAGTGAGCTGTGTCGCACGGCCGCTTGTCATGAAAAAAAGGAAGAAGATTATATCATTATTGCTTTCCACTTCTGACATAGCGTTATCATTCGGTTGATCGCTTGTCATTTTGTCATTTGGAGATATTTTTGATTCCTTGTTCTGAAGTGATTCGAAACTTTTCTGAAGTGAATCAGTGCTTTTCGAAGTTATTTCGAATATTTATTAAATGATTCAGTTCTTTCCGAAGTGATTCCGAAAATTTCCGAAGTGATTCTGAACATTTGTGAAGTGATTCAGTACTTTCGGACGTGATTTAGAACATTTCTGAAGTGATCGCTGGGAATTCTTCTGAATATTTGAGGTGGACAAAAGGGTGAACAAAGAGGTGAATGCCTAAGCTTTTTCACATTTATATCGCTGTGAAGCAACTGAAAATTGTTGAGGGAATTTATATCTGTAACTGTAACCAGTTCGCTTTTGTTTGCTAATCTGGTTAAGATGTCATACTTAATTATCTTAAAGATAAATCGTCCAGCTCAAACCTTTGTAGAGGTGGCACCATCATCATCATATTAAGGGGCTTCCCTGAGCTCATTTGATAAAGGCACAGCTACAAAACAAGACCATGCTGGAGGTGGCTGGATTCGATTCCCGGTCCAATCTAGGAATTTTTCTGGTTAGAAATTTTCTCCATGCTTGATGGAGCTTCACTCGCGAGTTTGAAATGAGCCGAGCGTAGCATTTTTCTGAGGAGTAGAATGCCTACTGCCAAATCATTCCACTGAGCTTCAAAGCTTGTGAGCGAAGGGGGATAAAATGAGAGTGAAGTTTGCTGCCATTCATGTTCATGCTTTCTATCAGATGCTCTTACTCTCACTCTGGGTGAACTCTGAGCTTCTTGCGTCGACCAAAAAAGTCATCTGGAGTCTCGACAAGCGCCCCTCACGTCAAATCATCCTCTCGGTGAAGTTCACTCTCCCTCTCTCTAGAGGAGTTTGTTTACTTCTTCCATATTCCTGCCACCACTCACTCGAGGTGAGGGCTGGCTAAAATCGCAAGACATGAGTGTTTTAAACCCTTCAGTGAGTATGAGGAGTTTCGGCAAGCCTGAATTTCTCTACTTTCCTGGACGGTACAGGCATCGAAAGCTCTCAATAAATAAATCTAGATAAATTTCTAGATAACATTCTCTTCATCGACTTTCTCTTTCGTCAATGACTCAGCTGTAAAACTTTTCCCTGATGTATTTGACGTTTTGAACGCAAGATAAGATCTTCCTTTATCAAACCATGTGGTAAAAAGAGCGTAAAACCTGTTTGCATAGCAAAAGGTTATCAAAAGAGAAAGTAGATGAAGAGAATCGATCGTGTGGCAAGTCCAATCATACTTCTATGCCCAGGGAAGTCGAGAAATTTTCCAATCCGAAAAATTCCTAGACCGAACCGGGAATTGAACCCAGCCACCTCCAGCATGGTCTTGCTTTGTAACTGCGCCTTTACCGACTGAGCTAAGGGAAGCTGTTAACTATGTCGAAATTGTCTGTAATTTCCTCCGCCAAAATCGTCTGGAACCTCCTTCTTCGAAATCAAAAAAATAGGAACATGGCCAATACTGATGCGTTTCCCCTATGCTATTTTGCCTAATCCATTTGATGAGCTGTCAAAATTTTGTCTTCTCCTTATTTGTGTTTAGATGACTGTAAACGAAAATACCGGATTAGTTTCCCCAACCATCTAATAAATATGCACAATGTGCCGAGGAGTTCAGTAGTTGGAAAAGACCAATCTTCAATAAATGAATAAAATAGAATATAAATAAATAGTTTATGCACGGCCAATGAGAACGACCTAAAAGTACAGCAACTCAACGATGAGTAAATTTACCTCATGTTTTTCTGTGGAAAACCTGCCGGAAAATGAGGAAAATTGACGAAAATGTTACTCAGTCTAGGAGTAGTACCAATAGACTGAGTAAATCCAATCTTTACTTTTATCATATTCTTGATTTTTTCCTAAACAAACCTGGGTTCGCTGAGTACCTGCGCTTTATGTGATTAATGAGTAAACTAAACTGAAATTTGGGTCGCTCTCATTGGCATTGGGTGAAATCCGTTGGAGTACTTCCTTGAAATCAAAAATTCTCCATGAAAAAACTACAAGGGACAGCCCTATGGGGTCGCACGCAATGGTGACGTAGGACTACGTGGTCTTATATAATAAATCTTATTTGTTAACTGCAGCAGGAGCTTGTGTTTTGTGTAGGAATATGAATTTGAGCGGAGTTCTCTCTGTTTATACTCTTTAGTATGATGCGCTTGACATAGATGGCCCACACCGACTCACGAAGAGCTACTCATTTCGATCAATAGCGGCGCGGATGCTCATGTGGGCTGCAGCTCGCTGCTTGCAGGCAGCCTTTCGATGTTTACAGGCTGCTGCTGCTGCTGATGCCGACGACCGGACAACACCACACACGGTGATTGGAACTGAATTCGATCAGCGGTTGTGGGCAGCCTTGATAGCTAGCTGCTTGCAGGGAGCCTTTCGTTGTGTACTGGAGAACACCATCACTCACCACGCGGTGATTGAATAAACACCGTATGGTGAGACCGGATGAAATTCAATTTTGAAATCTGTGTTAGGGAAATTGCTTTTTGCAGGCAATCGGTGATAATTTAAATTTTCATAGCAACAGTTGCCCATTTATGCAATTTTCAGTCTTTAATTTAGGTGCGTAGATGCGTACAAATATTTCTGATCGAAATTTTTTTTTTAAATTTAGTTTTAAAATTATTGAAATTGGTGCAGGGGCAGCTGAGTTATTAACGTTCAAAATCTTTCATAATTTTGTTACATGCTCCATTTTCGGTTTTCACAAAGTGTATCCACATATAGAAATCACAGACGTAGTCCTACGTCAAAAAATGGAGATCTGACCTCAGACGGAGCTTCCAACTAATTGACATCTTAGTTCCTCATCCAGTCCTTTTATAGTCATGCAGGATATAATTTTAGTTCAATGCATAACACGTGAGTTTTCAGCAAACAGTAAGCTCACTTTTCCCTTTTTTCTTATTCCTTTGCCCATACACACACATTCGTGGTTTTTGTCTTGCTATTTTTTTAATTGGAAAATTGTTGAATAACGTATGTTCTTATTACTGAATGAACCACGTATGTTTGTCTACAATTATAATTCGTTAAAAATCCATACCTGTACGACAGCAACCGGATCTTCAAATTCTTCCTCCTCTCGTCCACCGTTCTGCAACAAATTCATTCGAGATCCAGCCAAACTCAGCCGAGACAGCGAAGCCATCAAGCTTGGCGGAAGCACCGATTCCAGAACTTGGGAATCTTTGCTTTTCAACGCACCTTCAGCGATGCGAACCTTTCGCTCCTCGGATTCGGCTGGCAGTAGATGGTAGCATTTCCGCTTGCCACGCATTTTCTTCATCACTTTCAAACCCTGCAGAATCATGCACTGGCCGGTGAGAACAAAGTACGCATATTCCAGATCATTACCCATCTCCGGAACGGCAATCTGCTGCTGCGGTTCGTAGTGTGCCACCTTGGCTAGGATGCAGCACTCGCGGATCTATTATAGAAGAAACATCCTGAGTTAAATGTCAACAGTTTAAAACCCCTAAACTCACCTGATCCTCGGTCCAGTGGTCAAAGTACTGGAAGCGACGGATCGCTTCCTGCATCCGGTCCCATTGCAGCCTCAGGGTTGGTTCCAGCAACCGCTTGAAATCCTCTCGGGAAACAGACAGCAACTCACAATCGGCTACAGGTATTCAACGTTCAGCACAGGATTCACAGCAGATCCGTTCGCAACGCCACCGAAGAAGTAAATGAGCACAAAAATCCACATTACTGGCGAGTTCAAATTCTGCTTTCAGGTATGTAGGCACGGTGATTCCCATTATGTTTGGGTTTTTCCTTTTTAACAAATTTGAAATCGGTCTAACTTTTTGTTCGCTTATGCAGAAACTCCTGGGTCGCTATCGAACAGCGCCACCTAAAAGTTTCATTACCCTGCGCCTATATTATCCCTATGAAAATAACATAACCAAATTTTTACAACCCACCCGCACACACACATTACAAGCAAATTTCATTCGTTTCCGGATTTACTTTCATATCACTTCCTAATTCTAGCATTGTTAAACGCTTTCCCACCCCCTACATTCTCCCGCAACTCAATTTTTATGGAAAAACTTATTTAGGGCGCCAACCACCTTGCCATTACACGCGGCTTACCGCAAACGCGCGCGGTTCTAGGCGACTGACGATGATGAATGGAACCTACCCCAAAAAAATAAAAATCCGGGAAAATAAGCAATAAAGCAACCTAATCTATTAATCACGCTAATGGGTGGGTTGCGGAAGCTCCCTCTACAGGACAGAGAAACACGACATTTTGTCAATCGATTTACAAAGGTTCGTCGTCTTCGCAGGGTTGTGTAACTCATCGCCAAAAAGTTGCACCAGGAATGTCACCCACCTCCCACTCCCGAGCGAACCAGCAGCGCATGGAATCGTTCCCACGCTTTTGACTTGCAGAAAACTGAATATTAGCACGCGATTTGCGAATTACCTTCCATGTGCTGATGCTGACATGGACTGAAAGTTTTGGGGCCAAATTGAAGTCAAAGGAAAAGTTTTAATTTAACTCATTAGTTTGCTACTTGAACAATTGGGAACCGAGAGTGAGGATACAGTTTTGGAAAAGTTCCAAACAAAAGCAGGGACGTGTGTGACAGTTTCTGGGCGTTATTAAACTTAGCTTGAAACATTCAACTTCATGAAACATTAATGACATTTGTGATGCTAGAAGCATTGTGCCAGCCAGCGTTTTCGTTAATTTAGTTGATGTTTGTTTAGTAACTAGCTGTCTACACTTTTACCATTGTCCTCACATACCAGTACTCAGGTCTTAGGAAAAATTGGGTTAACATTTTCAGGGCAGACATAATGCGTAACCCTTCCATCTTAGCTAGTAGCAGGTATAGCAAATAAAATATACATCCAATAAAGTAGGGTAAATGATGGATTCGGCACCCATTGACAGTTTTTGGCAACATAAATTAAACGGATTTTCTTAACAAATCACTTTGCTGAATGTATTTCAACGATTCCTTAATCTTTCAGCTTCAATAAAGGGTATCCCACATCAAATTTCATCACGGAAAAAACGCTGTAGAAAATTACCTAGTTGACCGACCCTTTCCAAACTATCAGACAATAATATATAACCAATTAGTAATCTTTTGGCATATTTATTTCATTCAACTTCAATATCATAACCGTACGCTCGCACCTTACGCTTAACTCCACTCATTGGGTTCTGTACAACATCTGGCTGCAGCTTCGTCTGTAAGGAAACCTACTTTTTCTTCATGATTTCCTCAGATTTGACCTCCTAGGGATGCTTCCTTAGTGCCTGCTTTATAATAGCCCTGTATTTTTCGATGGACCTTAGTTCCGGTGCGACCTTAGTTCCCCCAGGTGGTTCATGTCCTTGAGTACGAAAGTGACCCCGTTGGCTTTGTACAACTCCAAGACAACATTTGAATAGTGGCTCGAAGCTAGATCCGGCCAGAAAATCGTAGGGCTCTCGTGTTGCTTCAACAGAGGAAGCAGACGCTTCTGTAGACACTCCTTGAGGTAGATCTCCCCGTTTACAGTCCCGGTAGACACGAACGGCGCACTCCGTATGCCACATGAGAAGATCGCTTGCCAAATCATGTATTTCTTGGCAAACTTTGAATGTTTCTGCTTCCTTACTTCATCCGGAATATCAAACTTGTGCTGGGTGGTGAAGAACAGTAGCCCCTGAAGCTGCCGGAAGTCCGCCTTGACGTAAGGCTCATCATCCATGATGAGACAATGAGGCTTCGTCAGAATCTGGGTGTAGTTTCTGGGCCCGTGACTTTCCCACCGTATTTTGCCGTTCGTCACGATTTGGAGCCTTCTGCACTTTGTACGTATGCAGTCCCTCTCGGTCCTTGGTTCTCTGAACGAAAGACTTGGACCGATTCAATTTTTGGCCACATCCCTGACCGAAGTATTGGGACGCTTTCACGACACACTTGTGATTCTGATCACTAATAGAACATCCATTCTGACCGCATTTCTTCTTCCGTTCGATGCTCAGAGCTCGTAGTAACGTTTAATCACACGACTCACCGTTGACTGCACGATTCCAAGTTGTTTTCCGATGTCCCGATGAGAGAGTTGAGGATTTTCCTGGTGCTTGCGCAAAAAGGCGTTGCTTTTCGAGTGACGCAATTTTTTCAACTTTCTAAAAACTGACAGCGACAAAAATACAGTTGTTACACTCTAAACTACTTCTCCCTAAATTTTCAAGAGAAAATACCCAATGGATAATTTTCTACATCGTTTTTTTTTTCGTGATGCAATTTGATGTTGGACACCCTTTATGATTACATTTTTACAATCGAGCAAACCTGTTTTGTCAGGTTTTTCTTCAAATGAAATATAAGCACTACAAGATGAGGCCGATTTTGAGATGCCGATAATAGAACAGCTGTTTAACACGTATTTCGAACGGATAAGTTGCCGAAGAAAAAGAGGTTGCCGACAATACTCACACTCACCTGAGAACTTTGGAGCGTTGTAAAAACGTTTTCAAACCGTTTTGGTGCGTGACGCTAAACAATTGCTAATAGAAGTTTGGACGCTGCTCAGATTGACGAGACTACGTAAATTACCCTACGAGCAATTCCAGACAAATTTGTAAATCTATTAATTTTCGTATTTTTTTATTTGGATGAAAATTTTTAGAAACGTTCCTCGTGACCAAAAATGCCATTTTGCATTTTCAGATCGAGCCTTAATTTTTAAAAGGGAACATTGAAAAATGTTAAGCTAATCTTCAGAAAACTGTTACTCGAAAAATGTTTGTCCAATCGTTTTCGTGCCATGGACATCGTTGTAGGGAGTATCTTAACTATTTGAAAAAAAATGCACTGTAAAAAAAATGTCATTACTTTTTTTGAGAAAAAAACAATTATCAAGTTTTTGTTTTAAAAACTTCTTAAAAAAAATATTTGTATTTTTTTATACTATGATATGTTTTAGGGGACAATTAATGACACCTAAACTATAGGTCAAGATGAATAAATGATGGACAAAAAAGTTATGATTTGAAAAAAACTCAAGTTGTTGGACAAATATCCTTAGTATCGGGCCTTATTACGAGTGTCACTTCACGGTGAAACCTCCCGGTGAAGTGATTGTCGTGTAAATCAAATGGGAATCACTTCAAGGTGAGTGAAACGTTGTTACTTCACCGTGAAGTGACATCGGTAATAAGGGCCATCTTCTTTAATATAAACAATGTGAACTTTTTTCACGCACCTCATAATATTAACTTGGTGTTTAAATGCTAAAAAACACATTTAGATTTTTTTAGCCATATCTCGGCTTTTTTGCCGAAATTCGCACAACCGAGTGCTCGGCAATGATCTCAGCAAATAAACTTTTGCTGAAATGACAGCTGGTGCTCGGATGAGCAAACTAATATCTCGGCATAATGAAACTGAAATCTCGGTCAAACGTGTAAACAATCTATTAAATTTTAATTAAATGGAAAATTAAAATTTCATGTTTCAGAGTGTTCAATCAGTCAATATTTATTTATTTGTATAATATGATTTTTTTAAAGACTCAAAATTATCATATCTGGACCTATATTTAGGAACCAGACAGTGAAAATTGGATGATCTAAGGCTTTTACTCGAAAAAAATGCACCATTTTCAACCGTGGGTAAAAGTAGATGAAAATCTGGGTATTACTAATTTGGAGTGAATTGTTTACATTTGCAAAATTTCATAACAATCGGTTCAGTGGTTATTGAGATGTCATCGAAACAAGAAGAAAATCGCCGGAGAATTTTGCGCGCCGTCATGGACAATCCGACTGCGACCATGAGATAATAGATCGGAAGACAACTGGGAATCACCTATACAACTGTGTCTCGGGTGGTACAATCGTTTAAGGAGTCCCAGACGACCGAGCGGCGGGCTGTAAGTGGAAGAAAATCGAAGACAGCTGACCCTGTGAAGGCCCGGAAGGTGTTGGATTATTTCAAGCGTAATCCGAACCTTTCGATTCGCGACGCGGCTCTGAAGGCAAAGTGTTCCGCCTGGTTCGTTCAGCAAACCATGAAATGAACTGGGCTTCGTGTATTCAAGGTCCGGAAGGCACCGAACCGGCGTGATCAACAAAACACGGTGGCCAAATCCCGCGCAAGGAAGCTGTATCGAGAGTGGTTAACGAAACCGATGTGTGTGGTTATGGATGACGAAACCTACGCAAAACAGATACCGGGGCTGGAGTTCTACGTTGCCAAATCACGGTTTGATGTTCCGGAAGACATAAGGAAGAAGGAAGTGGACAAATTCGCCAAAAAATACTTGCTCTGGCAGGCCATATGCCAATGCGGTAAACTGAGTAAACCGTACATCACAATGGGTACCATCAACAGCGAAATTTAACGCACCGAGTACATCCAGAAGCGTCTGTTGCCCTTCCTGCGGTCCCACGGAAGCGAGACATTATTTTGGCCGGACCTGGCATCATGCCATTACGCGCGATTGACGTTGGATTGGTACAGAGACAATAACGTTGTTTTTGTACCAAAAACCGCCAACCCCCCAAATTCACCAGAGATTCATCCGGTGGAAAGATTTTGGGCCATACTAAAGTCCAAGGTGTTTAAGAACGAGCTGGAGTTGAAGAAAGAATGGATGAAAGTG